GTTGGATGTCATGAGTTGACCACTATGTGTTATGGTTGTAGAATAGAATACTAGCCTATTGTGTTCTATTTCTATGTGGATCAAAGCATGTAAATAGAAAATGTTGGTGTGCATGTGTGATGAGGGCATTTGGAGCTTGTTGGTTTCACTATTGATAGTATTGGGTCAGAGAATCAGTTCGTGTTCTCAGGATTGTGGTCTTCAGATTGGCTGGATTGTTGAGTTGTATAAGTGTGTCTGAAATTAAATCATATGCGATTTAGGAGTGTTCCATATTAGTGATGAGTCTAGCATTTTATAACGGTTATGTAAGAATAGATTGGATGATGGACATTACTTTAGCTATAGTTTTAGCTGCTAGTAGAATCGATAGATGAATATGACTGCAAGGAGTTGCATGTTGACCAGAGCTTACAACTCAAGCAATATTGTTTATGTAATTTGGAAGAAGATGCTGTATATGGTAATGGCATTGATTAGTGTAAAGGCGTGATTGGTTTGTTGCATGTGATGTGTACTCTTCTCTACTGTTACAATTTACAAAGAGGGCCATTGGTTCATTGGTTAAAATTTGGCCTATTAACTTTCAGGTTGGTTTGATAAGGACAACCATTTTGTTCAAATATTGCCAAGGTTAGGGTTTATGGCCAATGTGAACGCGTAGGGCATATTTACCCATGCTTCATAGGCTTGAGATATCTTTATTGGGCTTTGTATTTTGACGATAGATCCCAATGATGTCATTGCATTCTTAAATGCGTATTACACATAAAAGGTTCTGAGCAAAGTTAGTTCAGAAGAAAATGACATAGCCAGAAGTACATATAGTACCCATGGGTAGGGGTGTGCATAATACCGTCGAAACCGTCAAAATCGTACCGAACCGCACTGCCAAGGTAAATTTGTTATTATTTGCCAATCGAACCGCCGATTTTTAGTAAGAAAAATGGCAAATTCTAGTTACACTTTTATCAATCCGTCGGTTTCTATTTTTCTTCCAAACTGCACTGACCCGCACCGCTATTAAATGATGTTTTATAAGATTCTAAAAATTCTTTTTTACTTAAGTTTGCTTGTTGTTCTATACCTTAGAATATAGTATTACATTACTGCTCGAGGGGAATTCAAGATGTCAGTAATCCAAAATAAAGTTGGATTCCAATTCACTTTTCAATCTTTTTTTTTCTGGCCATGTTGCAAACTTGCATCAGCTCACTTTTCAATCTAAATACTTTTCAACAGTAAACATTTTCAATATATTCAAGGATATTAATTGTCAAAAACACCTTTTGAAAACACGATTGTACATTTTAAAATTGTGAGTATTGTTCTAATACTATAACATATAAGTGTTTTAAAAATTAAATATTTTGATCTCTAAAAGTAAAAATTTTATTGCAAAAGATATTTAGGAACTAATTTCTATCATCATGAAAATAGTCACTAAAAGGTCGTTTTAAAAAGTCAAAAACAAAACTTTTAGTGATAAAATTTTGAAAATATCACTAATAAATAGACTTTTAGGGATAAAATAATTTGGTCTTAAAATGATTTATTTGTTGAGACAAAAAATTTGGTCCCAAAAGGATATAATTCATCACTAATGTTTAATTTTCGTTGCTAAAAATATAATAATGAAACTTTTCATAACAAAAATATTTAATCCTTCAAAAATAATTTTATCCCTAAATTTTGATCTCTAAAATTTTAATAAAACTAGAAAAAAATCATTTTTGACAATGAGGCTGTTTGGGTGCTGAGAAGCACAAAGTACATGGATGTGTCACATGGGCTCTGTAGATAGTCCCCCATTTTATAGAAGTGACAACCCAACCACTTTAATTAACAGTTTTTAATAATGTTAAAATTTTATTTCAATTAACAATTCAGATAATTTTATTATTGTATAAGTGAACAGTTAGAAATTTTATTTTTTTCAATTAATTCTATTAAATAAAAAATTATGACAGAGAGATATTTGTAATTTTTCAAACCACATGAGACAATTTGTATTTTAAGCAAATCTCAAGAATATATTTATAATTTACCCTTATCATTATTATTATTATTATTATTATTATTATTATCAAAACAAAATACCATTTTGTTAGGGGTGTAATTCCGGCCCGAGGTGGGCCCGGCCTGTTAAGGCCCGAGCCCGAGCCCAACCCGATGCCTTGGGCCAAGGCCAGGGCCATCGTTTTGAAGCCCGACCCGGCTCATTGGCCCGCTCAAGGCCCACCCAAAAGCCCAGCTCGAGGCCCGGCCCATCCGATGCTCAGTGTTATTTTTAATGGAAAATAATAAAATTTGAGTGGAAAAAATATTAAAAATTTAAAAAAATTGTTTAGGCTCCCCCAAAGCTCGAGCCCAGGCCCAAGCCCAAGGGCCCGGCCCACTGGCCCGTCCAAAGCCCTAATACCCCTAGGCCTGGGCTAGGGCATGGGCCTAGTTTTCTGGCTAGTGGGCTGGCCCGGTCCGATTTTTTGGCAGGAGCCCGCAAGGCTTGACATGGGCCTGGCCCAGCCCGGGCCAAAATTATACCATTACATTTTGTCAATCATTTTAGGCCTGGTTTGGGGTAATTAAAAAAAGTTAAAAAGTTACTCAAAAAGTTAAAAAGTTATTACTATTTACCAAAAAAAATATTAAAAAATTAATTTTATACAAAATTAATTTTCAAACAGTTTTGACATCCCACAGGCGCAGCTGAGTTTTTGGAAAAATTGCACTGATTTAGGTGCACAAATAACACTGTGCTGTTTGGCCCGTGGGGGCTATCACAGGTCTTGTTTTAATAATCTAGACCGTACAATGTATAGAACTTGTCGAGTACTATATGGCTGTAAAAAATCACGTTGATCGGATATCGGTAACTATATGATCAAGTCAATTAAAATTTATAAAATGGATGGTATTATAGTTAACGGTTGAAAAAAAAACTAATCTGATCAGATAGTTATCGATATCCGATCAACGTGATTTTTTACAAGTATATAGTACTCAACGAGTTCTACACATCGAATGGTTTTGATTAGCAAAACGGGACTTGTGGTAGGCCCCCACGGGCCGAACAGCACCTTCAATTCACTGCCCGAAAAGCACGAAACCATCTCCCCCTACTCTGCACACGCTGTCCCTTACTGTACAGTCTATTCCATCACAATCTTCTCCTAAACACTAATTTATATAATTTTTTAATACACATTTTTTCATAAAAAGTCAAATAGTTATCCCAAATAATCATTTTTTTTCTTATTTTTTTAATATAAAAAGTTAAAAAATACATTTATTTAAGACACCCCAAACAACCTCTTAATATAGGGTTTAAGTTTGGGGGCCCTCTGCCTCTTCTGCACTACAAAAAGTAGCGTCCTTTACTTGATTATCAAAATTATAACATGTAGATTCACTTCACTGTTTATTGTTTTTGGTAATGTTTGGTAAAATTTTAAAATTATGATTTGAGAATAGAATTGTATTTTAAATTTATGGGTTTTGAAATTATAATTTGAAAAAAGAAAATTTGTTTGGTTATGAGTTTTGAATTGAGTTTTGAAGTTTTTGATGTGACATATTTCAAAACTCAATTCAAAAACTTATAACTTTTAACTAAATACACAACTCAAAACTCTGTTTAAAATTCTATTTAAAATTTATAACCAAACTCTTTTTAAAATTCAATTCAAAAAAATAATTTGTCATTTTGGTCTAAAAAATTAATTTTTATATTTAAAAAATATCAAAAAATATATATAGGCCTTGTTTGGTTTGTGTTTCTCAAAAAATTTTAGGAAAAATTCTCTACAAATAAGTTTTTAAAAATAATCAAACCAAACAAATTTTTCTAAAATTTTTTTCCAAAACTTGTTTGGTTTACAAGTTTTCCAAACAAATCTCTCTCTCATACACATCAAATCAATCACTTTTTCCAAAACTCTCTCTCAAAATAATTTTTCAAAACATCTTTTGAAAAAAAACTAAACCAAACAAATTTTCGTACTTTTTATCTCAAAACATGTTTATCAAATACAAACCAAACAAATTCATAATTTTTTTTTGTCCAAATAACAGGTGGCAATTGACAATTGTAAAAATAAAAAATAAAAAAAAATTTATATTGTTCCGGTCAACTGGGCAGACGACCGGATACACAAAATTCAAAAATTAAAACTCTTACCAAATATGTTTTCAAAATGTGTTATAAAATTGATTTGAAATTTTTTACCAAACATGTTATTCGAATGTAAAGGTGGAATTAAATTTTGAAAGTCTTACCAAATTAAATCTTGATTGTGAATGTTATGAATTTTAAATAAAAATCTTACACGATTTAATTAATTAATTATCAAAATTGTTTTGATTGTTAAGTTAGAGATATTGGGGCTTGTTTGGTTTGATTTTGGGAGATGAGTTTGGGAGATAAAAAGTACGAAAAGTTGTTTGGTTTGGTTTTTTTGGAAAGATGTTTATAAAATTGATTTGAAATTTTTTACCAAACATGTTATATATTCGAATGTAAAAGGGGAATTAAATTTTGAAAGTCTTACCAAATTAAATCTTGATTGTGAATGTTATGAATTTTAAATAAAAATCTTACACGATTTAATTAATTAATTATCAAAATTGTTTTGATTGTTAAGTTAGAGATATTGGATTACTGTCAACCAAAAAATTAAAATTACAACAAATAAATAAAATTGTTCTGATTGTGAGTGTTATGAATTTTAAATAAAAATTATAAGTGTAACAGAATAAAATTACAATGTAAAAAATTATTGAAGTCCTCCATTAGATTTTCTGCCTTGGGCATGACAATAATGATAGACTGCAAAATAACTTGCAACCATAACCTGTTTTTTAAAGAAGCATAATCAAGATTAAGAGTTCTTGTTGTTCACTCACACCCACTATCCAAGGCAACAAGTTTTCTTCTTTGTTTGATAATTTGATTAATCTCAGTGACTACTCCATCACCTGGAAAAATTAAGTTCTTAATGTACATCCTATAAAATTTCCGTAATTGTTTATTCAATATATGAAATATCCAAACATTATGAAATCGACCATATGATTTGCAATTCAAAGAACAAAGATCAAAACACAAGACACACAAATAACATGGAAAACCCTAATGGGAAAACCATCTCACACAGGAATAATAAAAGTTTATTAGGTCGAGTCTAATAATCCACCTACTTATAAAACTCCATGACACAGAAGTTGCTGGCAAAACATTCGAATCGAATGCCAGTAAATCCAGCTTCAGCAGCCAAGGCCTGAAACTCAGGTTGCGTTCGCTCCATCCCACCAGTGTTTTGAGTCAACATGATCATGTCGATTTGGGAAATCACTTTTGCTGCAGCAGAAGCAGCAGCCATAGTATTATCAGGTGGTGCCAATGGAACAATTCCTTCAACTACAATAACCTTTCCATTCTCTGGTAGAGCTTTGTGGCAATTCTTTAGCAGCTCCAAACAGTGATCATCACTCCAATCATGAAGTATCCACTATCAGATTCACACCATCACCATCATTAGGGTAGTACAAATTAAACAAATAAATAAATAATATATATATATATATATTTGAAAAAAATGCTATTTTCTCACGCCAGTGTTGTGAAAAGGAAAAAAATATATATATAGTGAAATTAAATTCATGTGAAGCATAAAGTCATGCATATATGCTAGATGTGGGCAATACAATTGGGTTTTACGGACCAAAATTTTTTTTCCTTAAATGTAAAAATTTTGTAGCAAAAATATTATAGGACTGATTCTTGTCGTCTCAAAAAGTAAAAACATTAGTGACAAAATTTTAAAAATGTGATTAATAAATGCACAACAAAATAATTTGGTGCTAATAAAGTTTGTTTTTCAAGATAAAAATTTTGGTCCCAAATGAAGTAATTCATTAGTAAATATTCAATTTCGTCACTAAAAATATAATAATAACATTTTAAAAAGTGATTTAATTCTTAAATTTTTGTCTCTAAAATCTTAATTTGCCATAATGCAAATATCACGGTAGTGTTTAATTTAATTTTTAAATTAATATTTGGATCAAAAAAGCAAAAAATATGTTTGGTTAATCAATTTTTAAAACTCTTTTCAAAATTATTTTTTCTCTCTCCTCTCTCCTCTTTTTTTTTAATTAATAATAATAAATAAATCAATCACTTTTTCCTTTTTCTCTCTCATTCTCTTATATTCTACACATCAATCAATCAAATTTTCTCTCACACTCATCTATTCAATTACAAAATAATAATAATAATAATAATAATAATAATAAAATAAATTACAAATCATCTCAAAACTATTTTCAGAACTCATTAATCAAACAAATTTTTAATTTTCAAAACTCTTTTCAACAACTTATTTTTCAAAATACAATTCAAAACTTAGAACTCATTTCAAAAACTAAACCAAACAGAACATTTTCTTGCAAAATTATGACTTAGGCCTATTTTGGGAAGTGACTTTTTTTGAAAAAATATGAAAAAAAAAAAAAATTAAAGAGATGATGTTAACCAAATACATTAATAAACTGACTTCTTCTTCTTCTTCTTCTTTCTTCTCTCTCTTTTCTTCTTCTTTTTTTTTTTTTTTTAAATTGCCAAAATAGGCCTTACCTTCATGAAAATGGCATCTCCTTTGGGAACACTTACAAACATATCTCCCCCAACATGTTCCACACCTGCATCAAAATGGACTTTAAATGTCAACAACAATTATAATAAAAGTGCTAATTACACTTTTAGTTTGTAAATTATGCTTTTTGTGTCATTTTGTTTCTTAACTTTTTAATTCTGTCAATTTCATCTCAAAGTATAAAAGCTATCAACAAAAATGAGAATAGCCACAAACTAAAAAAGAATAATAAATAAATAAATAAATAAAAATCAAACCTTGAAAAATTAATACAAACCAATGTTGGGACCAAAACTAAGGCTGAGAAAAAAGAATTAAAAAAAAAATCAGAATCTAATTTAATTCAGAACAAATCATGTGGTTTGATTTGATTTTAGTTCTAAAAATAGCTTAACTGTAATTCCTTATTCGATTTATAATTTTATAGTTATGATTCTCGTTTGAAAGTAGACTGTTCAAATATATATATATATATAAATGTACAATTTTTGTTATTTGAAATAATTTAAATTCAAGAAAAGTGGGGTGCATTTACACCTGCAGCCATGTTGATGTGGTAAAACTAACCGTAAACAATCATCTAAATAATTTATGTTTGAAAAATATTACATGTGCATGTTGTGAATCATGACATGTTTCTATAAATTGTCACTACAATAAGTTAAGATTTTAGAGATAAAAATTTAATAATAAAATCACTTTTTAGGAACGAAATATTTTTATTGCCACAAATGTCAATATTGCATTTTTAGTGACAAAATCAAACATTTACTGATAAATTACTATTTTTTTGCACCAAATTATTTTGTTTTTAAAAGTACATTTGTTAGTAACATTATCAATTTTTTATTGGTAAAAGTCTTATTTTGACTTTTGCATATGACCTTTTAGTCACTATTCTCCCGACAACAGGAATTGGTTCCCAATTATTTTTTGTAAAAAAATTTTAACTTTTGAGATTAAAATAATAATAATAGTAATAATCTGATTCCTAAAGCTTTTATTTGTTATAGTGTGGCTTCAAACTGATTTGAACCGCGTTTCACTGGTTGAGTTTGATTTGATTTTAAAACTTCATGTAACCATAGTGATTTGGTATTGCTTTTCTTCTAAACCAAGTCATGCTCACTCCTAACCAAAACAATAATTAATCATTTTATGTATAGGTGTAATTTTTTTCCTCCAAAAATCTCAAATTCTAGCAAAGAATATTGACAACGTCGAACATGTGCGTACCACTTAGACACGCATTTAACTCTTTGAAAATGAAATTAAAACAATTGAGCTATTAGAAATTAAAATGTCATAAAAAATACTTTATTAAAAAATAAGAAGAAGAAGAAGACGACTATATAATGAATGTTGTAAATGAAAAAAAACAAAAAAAAAAACATACCAGGATAGGTTGGGGCATGTTGGATAACATGGGGCAGGTCGAAATTAATACCCTTAATAGATGGGTATTTGGAGGTGATGATGTTGAGGGCGACACCGAGACCACCACCGACATCAACAAGATGTTTGAGTTGCTCAAAACCCTTGTAGGATTCTAGGATTTTTCTAATAACTATGTTTGTGTGGTCGCACATTGCCTTGTTGAAAACATCATTGAATCTTGGGTCCTTACCACAATAGGCAAATGCATGTGTCCCATGCACCCTGTTAAATGGAATGCCTCCATCCACAAATGCCCCTTTTAGCTCGTACCTAATAATAATAATAAATTACACGTAGTTATTTTTATTTATTTATTTATTTTTCGTCTTGTTTGAGTGATTTCAAAATATATATATATATATATATATATAATGGACAAAATTAAATTTCAATCACTTGTTTGGATTATCAAATGAAATACATTTTTCTCATAATTTTTATTTTCAATCTCTCCAAAACTAAATAGATTGAGAAAGAAATGAAACCAACTAAATATTATTTTGTTATAATATCAAAACTACTCTTTTAAATATAAAACAAATAAAAAGACTAACAACTACAAAAGATTAATTTGTTAATATAATATTAGTGTTTTAGAGGTCAAAGAAATTTTGTCACTCCATATATGAAGGGGTTGTGTTTGATTTTGCGAATTTAGAAGAGCGATAAAGTATTTATAGTAGCAAAATTGACAAATTTAATATATATATATATATATATGACATTGATTGGGAAAACACTAAGCCAATGAACTTGGTGAGTGCATGGACTTGATGAGTTCATGGTTTTTGATATTGACTCAAAACTCTGCTGGGTGTCGTTTGGGAAGTTGGTGGGCTTTCTGGCTTTTTGATTTTTTTAGTTATTTTAATTTGGACTAAAAAGTTTGATTTGAGAAGGACTTTCTGGCTTCTTAGTTTTTTTGACCTTTTTTGGTGAGAAAAGAGTATAATGATTATGGATTTGATATGATGTTTTGTTTGTTGTGGCTAAAATAGCCTATTTTGTTTTTTTGTTTTTTTGTTTTTTTTTTTTTTTACTATTTTAACCCCAAACTCACTTCCCAAACAATTATTGACTTTTGGGTGGTAGGCATATTGACTTTTATTTTATTTTTTTTTATTTTTTTTTGGGTGTTGTAATTGTTGCTGTTGTTGTTTTTCTTTTTTTTATTATTTTTAATTTTGGTTTAGCATATGATTCAGTGTGTTTGGTTTGAGTTTTTTGGATTAAGTTTTTTGAAAATTGACTTTTTTGATTTTCGTGTTTTTTTGTTCTTAGTAAATATTTTTTAAATTTTAAACATTTTTTTTAACTTTTTTAGATGCACGTTACTTAGATGTATCTAAAAAGTAAAAAAATTGTGAAAAAATATTTTAAAAAATTAATAAATACATAAAAATACAAAAAATGTACTGAATTCTTTTCTTTCTTTTTTTGTATTTTTGGTATTTAGTGAATTTTTAAAAGATTTTTTTTACAATTTTTTTACTTTTTAGATGTATTTATGTTAGGTGTGTCTAAAAAGTAAAAAAATTGCTTAAAATATTTAAAAAATTCAGTAAAAACAAAAAAACACGAAAAATAAAAAAGTATAATTTTCTGAAAAATGTTTTTTGAAAAATGGAAACAAGCAAGGTGATTGGTTTTAGGATTTGTTTGGAATGTGAGTTGACCTTTTGACTTTTTAGCTCTTTAATTATTTTAATTTGGGACTAAAAAGTCCTATTTGAGATAGGTTTTTTTCGGCTATTTTAATTTTTGTAAAAGAAAAAATTAAATAGTTATGATTTTGATGTAAGATTTTATCTTTTAGACTAAAAAATTTATTTTATCTTTTTTATGATTATTTTAACCAAAAAAATCCTATTCTAACTTATGCCAAACAAAAGTTTAATTCATTTGACAGGTTAGTTCGGATGTACTCTGCAAGTGATGATGCTTCTTCCTTGCCATGTTTTCTTTTAATGATATATATATATATATATACTCTTATATTTTTTGTACTTCTTGAGCCATCCCTTGCATCAATAAAATTTTAGATAAATTATCCTGAGATTTGAAAGAATTTTAGTCAATTTTACACTTTTAATATGATTATAGTTAATTTCACATTTTTGACGTAAGATTAAAGTGATCGAAACTAATGTAGATGGTACGTAAATATTGAAATAAACAAAGATAAATATGTATTTTAATAAATAAAAAAAATGGCAATATCATTTTTCCATTCATACTACGGCTAACAAATTACTGATGAAAAATAGGCTAACTATTATGTGAATTAAAATCTCAAAGAATCCTAATGTAATTTAATTATGATATTGTAAGTGATATAATTGGTTGATAATTAGAGAAAATATGGGAGAAAGTGTTACCTCTAATATCTTAATTGATTGTCATATCACTGAACTTGAATATTAGGTCTAATTATTATTTTTTTTTCTCAAATAACAATGATCATTGAATAATTAAATAAAACCAAGAAAAAAGAGAGACAGAGAGAACCAACATAATTTTTTAGACACAGGATCTTCACTTTTGAAAATCTAAATTCCTTGTTACAGAATATTATAATCATAAAATTGTCTCAAGATTCTTATACTTCAAAATTCTCACATAATTTAACCATTATGAATGTTTGGTAACAAGAAGATTTTGGAATTAAAAAATTTTGACTGGTTTTTCAAGTAATGAAATGAAGTGAAAGGTTGCTTCAAAAAAAAATAAAATGAAGTTGAGAGGTTGAGAGTTGCGGCCGGATATATTTTTGTTGAGGAAAAGAAATGTAGAAAAATATTTGAAATTCTTAATTTGACTTATAATAGTTATGGTAAGTATCAACTTTTACTGATAAAAAAAATTATAAATCTCTAAAATTTCTCAGAAATATATACCGACCAGCTATCCATGAAAACCTTGTCCTGAAGCATAGACATGAGGGGCCTTAATGACACTCCGTCTTTGTTCCTAACAAAGTATTGGGCCACAGGTGCCAGCCCATACAACCTCCGTCCACCGTCACTGCTGCCGCTGCTATTATTTATGACAACCGCAGAAGTTGGCTGGACGGAGCAAGTGAGCACAGAGTGGTTGGCCAGGAGCTGGAGCATCCGATCCAGCATGGCGGTTGCGTCAGGATTTCGAGTGGGAATCCGCGACACTATCTCCAACACAGAAAGGTGAGTACCGGGACCCGCCTCGGCCATGATCTCCAGCACGTCTAGCTCGACCACTGCTTGCATCACCATGGGAAGCACAGAGGAGCTAGCCAGTTGCATGGCATAGGACCAGTGCTGGTTTTCTTCATCATTATTAACATGATAATCATTGTAATTTGAGGAGGTTGAACTTTTTCCCAAATTCGTTTTTGCTGAAGGTTCCATTTTTTCAAAAACGAAGAAGAAGAATTTTATGCTGTTACTCTCAATATGTTCTGCAAGAACTGGAAGCTGGAGCCAATTTATAGATGATACACTTTCGAGGATGGTTAAAATACTGTTAATTTGTAGGGGTACTTTTTTTATTTTTTATTTTTTAAAAAAATTAGGCCCTCTTTCATTAAGGTGAATGGAGGGAATATATTCTTTTCCTATGTACCCAAAAAAAAAATAAAAAAAATGGAGGGAATATACTGCAAGATTTTAAAACATGGTCTAATTAATAAAAAAATTTCAATCTTGTGGCATAGATGATTGGGACATATCTCTAGAAATAGAATTGAAAAAATATATAGGTTATTGGTCCACACTAAAAAATAAATCTAACATATGTACCTTTTTTTTATTATTATTATTTTTTATTTTTAGGCCCTATTTGATAGAATATTTTATAAATTAAAATTTAACATTTATCTGATATATTATTAAAAATAATTTTTAAAAGTAATAAATTAAGGCCTATTTTGAGAATTAAGTTTAAAATTTATTTTCTCAATTTTTTTTAAATGTGTAAAAAAATGAAAAATAATATGACTTAAAAAAATTTTAAAAATAAATTAACTGCCTTTTAATTTAATTATAAAAAATGCCCACCTCATTTCAACTATTTTTTTCTGGGGTTGGCTTCCTTCCAGTCCGTCCGTGATCGGCCTGGAGTGTACTGTTGGGCCCTCACTACAGGTCCCATTTCGATAATTTGAACTGTTCAGTATGTAAATGTCACAGCCCCAAATTTTTTTTTTTTAACGTCATAAGATTTAAATAACAATAACTTACAAGATAAAATTTTAACTATTAATTAGAAACTTTTAAGTTCTTACATAATCAAAGTCCAACAACAAAATAAAACTACAAGTTCACACACAACGTCACAACATAGTTAAATCCCAATACAAGGGATAACAGGATTTTATTTTGATAAAATCTTGACTCTAAGTCAGCTAAGGTTCGATATTGGCAGCAGCTCCAATTTCAGTCTCAGTCCCTTCTTCAACATAATCCGGCATGAAACGTCAGGGCAACAAAATATGTGCCATAAGTTTTGCAACACAGTAAGAAAGCATAACCAACTTACCATTTTTTTTTAGAAAAAATAATGAGATTATAAACACGAGATAATAATATAATCGTAAACATAAATTACAACCATTAAAATAATTCAAATAATTTTAATAACTTAGGTAACCTTTGAAATCTCATCAAAGAAACCATTGCCAATATGGAATGACGCACTTGCAAATTACTTCTTCTCCACGGAAACCTGTGTCCGTGATTAGAGGGAGTTGCGTGATTGTCGGATTTTGCCAATCAGCCAGACCAACTTAGGAGGCCAACAAAATTGTGGCAAAATGGTCTGGATACGAATTTATAACTCATGGCCCATCAAGGACACACAAATAATCATAGTATAGACATCACATGTAACAAGACAAAACTCGTGTCAGTTAAATTTGAGTCACCAGTTCTTGTCATGATATTCTTAGCGAGGCTAAGATCAAGTCATGACTTAAGTCCATATTGAAAAAGTATCTGCAGATCCCTCATATACATTAACCCTGTATTGTTAGGTACTTTTTTTTGTCTGGCTCCTTAACCGACATCGACTCCTACAATCACGTTCAAAGAGAATTGCCATGTACTAGTCGTCTCATCGCCTCCTATCAATTTTTATCAATAATAAAACAAAAAATAAGAAAAAAGCAACTTGTATAACACTGTATTAGACATTTGTTGTCCTACCGTAATAAATAGTAATCCACACCCATGTGGGTTAGTGGTGCATTCAATTAGTAGTATTTGTTTGTGGAGAAGGATCCCTTTCGGTATATATTTTAAATTAGAGGGTGCTGTTTGAGCCTGCGAGATTTACCATGGATTTTATTTTGATAATTTAAATTATTTATTTCGTCAGGTATTTTGTGTATTTTATCTAAAAAAAAATTAAGTCAATCTGATAATGGTAACTTGTTCAATTTTTCATTAAAAAAATACATAATAATTGTATTTTTAAAAATAAATCATACATTTTTTTTAGTGACAAATACAATAAATTGAATAAATTACAGTTATTGAATCAACTTAATTTTTTTTATGAACAAAATATACGTATCCGA